AAGTTTGATCTTTATTTTTTGTATTGGACATGATTAGCTTGTCTAAAGCTCAATTTTATATTAAAATAAATAAAAAAAATGATTGAAAACTTAAACAACCATACTTTTTTGATTTATTGCGTATTTAGTTTTACTGAATCTTAGAAAGTTCAATAGAAAAATAATACACTGAGCCAATAAAAGTAGCCTTCCAAATTTGAAAAGTAACCATAGTAACATGTTTAGTGCAATAGTGGTAGACTTCAATCCCCACTACAACCCTGGTAGTACCGCACTCAACTTGTTTCTTCATGCTGCAGCCTTGTATGTTAAGATTAGTATTTTGGAGTTAAAGAGTTGAGAGTGGGTTGTAAAAATAATCAAGTAGCCTCCTCGACTATAGTAACCTTGGGCAAGTGAATAACATTTTTTTAAAGAAAAATGTAATTTTTTAAATGCTATCATAATATTCTTTCTAACAAACATCTCAAAAATTCTCTGAATTTGATAGTTGCCAATCGATTTTCGAAGGGAACGAGCCCTGTTAAACAGCTTAGAAAAATAAAGGGAATTCTTATATATATTTTTAGGAGTGGTGGTGGTGAAGAAATGAGGTGGAGGTTGGGGGTAGTAAAGGTGTGGCAAGATAGCAAAATAAATATATTTTTTACATACTTATTGCTGTTTTTTTCTTATAACTTTTTGTTCGTATTTAAAAAAAAAAACTCATGAAGCTATTAAAGTTGTTTGAGGAAAAATATTTTTTATAGGTTAGTATTTTTTATATATAGTTGTAATGATTATATTGTTGTGTAATCAGCAAATAACTTTATAGATCAGATAGTCAGAAAGATCATTAATATAGATGAGGAAAAACACAAAACCAAGTATGGAAGCTTGTAATGTTTTATAAGTTATAATTTTCAAAACCTTACCATACAAGGAGAACTTATGGAAAATACTGACATTTCAGACCTTATCAAAAGAAATGAGCCTTGTTTCAGCATCTCTATCTAACGTTTTTATCGCTACTACTAGTTAACAAATCAACAAAAGAACAAGGTGATATAAATCTGTATTGATTGTCAGAAAGAATGTTGTAAGACTATTCAAATATTTTACCATCATTAAAACTTTTGTAATACTTTCGAAAAAATCTAAAATACATTAAGTAAAATAGACAAATCAACTGATCAGCCAACTGTCAACTGATCAGCCAACTGTCTATTGACAAAGGAAGTCATTACCAATACCAATACTTTCTGTATTTTAAAAGGAACTTGATATATCTATAAATTTTCAATTAAAGAATTGTTTGGAAAGTTATAAACTTTAAAACAGCACAAATCTCAAACAATCATGTAAACAGATGATACAGTCGTCTAATCATATAAAATAACTGTCATAAACGCGGTACAGGAATACAAACATCTTAAAAGCATGACATCATCCCCTAAACTTAACTAATATTTTTGTTAAATGTAGGAATTTGCTTTGTTTTGCTTAAGTATACTTAAAAAGAAAAATCCATATCTGACAACAAATACTAGTAAAAGATTTTTAAACAAAAAATTGTTTGAAATAAAGATAACCAATGCCTGATATAATTGAGGCATTTAACACCATTGAATGTTGGATGATTAAAAGTTTGTATGTTTGACTCTCACCTCAACAAATAAAAATATACTTTTTCAGTTAATAAAAAGTTTGTATGTTTGACTCTCACCACAACAAATAAAAATATGTGTACTTTTTCAGTTTATAAAAAACATTACATAAAGATGTAAAAGTATTGTAAAGTCAAGATACCATTGGCATCTTAGTTTGCAGTAGTTTGTAGTAGACAAAGTTAAAATGATGGGAGATATAAGGGCTTGTACAGTGCAAAACCTGGATTACAACCTCAAATCTGAAAATACATTTATTTTCATTTCAAATATTAGGATAGTAACTGTTAAAAATTGAAATTTAAATATACATTAAAGAAAGCTGAAAAAAGCTATTTTGCCAAATATACTAAAAATGTATCCTAAACATTTACAAAAATTTAAACTGAAATCATAAGGATGTCTAGTAACCGCCTGAGACCACAGCTCCAGATAAATTTGACCTTTGTATCAAACCTGACTTATTAAACAGTCAAATTAGCAGGGTTTACTAGCCGAAGCTTAAGCAAAGACATAAAAAAAAAGAAGAGAAAGAAAATTTAACAGACAAAACACCTACCAATTATTATATGCTAATTACATAAAGATCAACATACTTTATCCATGTAAGATCTTACTTCAATGTTATTATTTTACAACTAATGATATACAACTTTTTCTTTACTTGGTTATTAAAATTAACAATAAATTTTTTTAAAACTTTGTTATAAAAAAAGTTATAGTAAATATTCATTAAAATTTTACCAGCAGCAAGTGGAGCAGCTGCAGAGGTTCCAGTATGTGATTGTGTACAGGTTCCATGCAAATCTGTTGTTGCAATCTGCTTATCAAATTGACCACTAGCATCACCACTACTATAAGTAACAGCTAGTGTACCTGAGCATGCCTCAGAATACCATGGTTTCATTCCACAATTATCAACTGCTCCAATTGAAATAGTGTATGGAGAGTTTATGTAACCATCACATGAGCAATAATCCTGAAATCGACCACCATTACCTGTTGCCCACACAAATATAGAACCTAATCCACCACGACCTTTTTCTATTCCTTAAAAAGTAATTGTTAATTAAATAGTGACATGTTAATCTTTAAATGTGTTTAACTAAAAATACACAAAAAGTATAACAACGTATGTAACTAAATATAAACACATACAAAAAAGCCTAACAAATATAAATACATACAAAAATGTATAACAACTTATGTAAACAAACTTATACACATACAAAAAAATATAATAATGAATGTAAATAAATATTTGTACACATGCAAAAAAATATAACAACGTTTGTAAACAAATATAAACATGTACATTTTTTGAAATTATTGTCAGCAGAATGAATTAAAACTACATCATTTGAAACCCACAATACCATTTGCTTATATAGAATTGAAAACTTTTAAATTGGATAGATTGATGATAAGTTGACACACATCCCCGGATATTTACATATTAAAAATTTCAATATACCTTTTTTACAATTACAAGGAATATTATTCATAAATGGTGAAAGCAACAATTGCTATTCTTACCAACACTAAAGAAAACTGGTTTGCATTTTTAAAAATTTTTTCCCAAAGATAAATCATCTTTGCTATTGTTATTATTATTTTTTTTTTTTACTAATGTAAATAAAAAAATGTAATAAAATAATTTTGTGTTATTTTAAAAAAAAAAAATTTGATATAAATCAACCTTTTGTACTATTACTCCCATTGTACTATTATATTTAACCTTTTGTACTATTATATTTATTAAATTTACATTTATTAAAATTAAATAATATTCAACCACTCACATACCAGACATGGTCAGGAGTGACATGCAACCAAACGTGTATATCTAAAATTGGTATCGGGTACATTTACAGCTTTTATTGACGTATTATTTAGACATGTTATTTAGACGACTTATTTAGACATCGCTTTTTTAGGCAAAGGCTAGGAGAAGTTAACTCCGAATTAAAACACCCCCTGCCTTGGGGCTCTTGGTTGAGTAAAGGCTAGAGATGGTGTCCGATAAAAATACTCATCTTGGGCAGATGTTACATGCATCCAGCTGCTGTCTTGTAGAAGGCCTTCTAGGCAAAGACTTAAGGGGTAAACAGATTCTATCTGTTGACCAGCCTCGCACCCCTTCCTCATCTATTAGGCTGGCGCAGATGTATTTTTAATACATTGTTTCCAGTTTAGGATGTTGAACGCTGGATCTTCTTGACTCAATGCGTGGGTATTGCTTGTGTCTCTATTTTTACGACTGGGCAACTCATTCTATTATCTCCTAATGAGGGTACAGCTCTAAAACTCAGTTTTATGGTTCTGAGGCCGGCTGGTAGTCAGGTTTCCCGAACTCTGTGGTAGCTCTCAGAGAGGCTGATTCCATCAACAGCTGAAAAATATCAGAGTACTAACAGTGCCATGTTGCGCATGGATGGTGTCCCTGTTTGTACTTTTGGTGTGCATTGCAGAGGCCACATTTGGAGCCCTTTGTTACGGCTTAGGGTTTATTAATAGTAATAAGGCTATTGCTTAGTTGTTAAATAGTGTACTGAGTACTATCTATACTTGAGTCAAGTTCTTTATAAATTCAAAATGACTAAAGTACCTAAAACTAAAAAACACAAAAAACCATCGTCATCACCAAGTTCTCTAAACCTATCATTTACTAATATTCGTGGTCTTCGAAATAACTTTTCTTCTGTTGAGTCTTATCTCTTGCAAAGTACACCAGACCTACTTGCTCTTTGTGAGACTAATTTGAGTTCGGCTGTCCCATCTTGTGATCTTAGTGTTGATGGTTATCTTCCTTTAATTCGTAAAGACTCCAATAATCACATGCTTGGCCTGGGCATCTACATTCTTAAGAACTCACCCATTTGTCAGGAAACTAGGTTTGAATCTACAGACTATTCATTTATGTGCTTTTGTTTAGCACAACTTCACTCTATCGCCTTTCTCTTTGTTCTATATCGCTCTCCTTCATCCCAAGATTGCACTATTCTTGATGCTATTTCTGATCAAATTGACCAAGCCCTCTCTCTTTATCCATCGGCCAATATCGTCGTTGTTGGTGACTTTAATGCCCATCACACCGATTGGCTTGGCTCTAGTGTCAGTGACTCTGCTGGCGTTAAGGCCCTCAACTTTTGCCTTTCTCAATCTCTAACTCAAATAGTCAACTTTCCAACTCGTTTTCCAGACAACCCTAATCATTTACCTTCTCTACTCGACTTATGTCTTGTTTTGGATCCTAGTCAGTGCTCAATTTCTCCACATTCACCCTTAGGTACTTCTGATCACGGTTTGATCTCTCTAAAACTATTATCAAACTCTTCTACTTCATCAGAATCCCCCTATCATCGTACCACATACAACTACCTTAAAGCTGACTGGGACTCTTTCCGTGATTTTCTTCGTGATGGCCCTTGGGTAGAAATCTTTCGTCTTCCTGCTGACAAATGTGCTTCTTACATAACTTCGTGGATTCAGGCTGGCATGGAATCTTTTATTCCCTCTTGACAATTCCAGGTCAAGCCTCACTCTTCTCCTTGGTTTTCCTCACATTGCGCTGCAGCAATTTCTAATCGAAACCGTTACTTCCATATCTATCAGCAAAGCAATTCTCCAGAAAACAGACATCTGTTCACTATCGCCAGAAACCATTGTAAAAAGGTTTTGTCTGACGCCAAAGCTCGCTATTCTCAGGTCATTAAATCTCATATCTCATCACAAAAGTTAGGCTCTCGAGACTTCTGGAGAATCTTTAACAGTATCAATAATAAGGGCAAATCTGTTATTCCTTCTCTCTTGTATGGTTCAGACTTTGTCACCTCACCTAAAGACAAAGCTGAATTGTTTGCTAAGAACTTTTCATCAATATCATCTCTCGATTCCACTAGTTGCGTTTTACCTGACATAGCTGTCAAACAGGTTGATCCCTTGCTTGACATTCGCATCACTTCAGCTTCTGTATCAAAAGTAATATCCTGCTTAGACTCTTCAACAGCTTGTGGTCCTGACAACATTCCTGTTGTAGTCTTGCAGAGGTGTTCTCCGGAGCTTTCATCCATACTTTCAAAACTATTTAACAAGTGCTTATCAGAGTCTTGTTTTCCATCATCTTTAATCAACAAACACTTAATCTCTCATCTTGAATCAAATAACTTACTTTCTGATCATCAATATGGATTTCGGTCTTCTCGTTCTACAGCTGATGTGCTAACAGTAATAACCGATAGGTTTTACCGTGCATTAGATAGAGGTGGAGAGGTTAAGGCTATCGCACTTGACATTTCTAAAGCTTTTGATAAAGTTTGGCATGCTGGTCTTCTCCATAAGCTTTCTTCTTATGGTGTAGCTGGTAACGTCTTTAAGATTATTGAGTCCTTTCTTTCCAATCGTAGTATAAAAGTTGTCCTCGATGGACAACACTCTTCTTCACTTCCTGTAACTTCAGGGGTTCCTCAAGGTTCAATCCTTGGCCCTAAACTCTTTTTAATTTACATTAACGATCTTCCAGATATTCTCACATCTAAGGTGGCATTATTCGCTGACGACACTACCATTTACTCTTGTCATGATAATAAGCCTACACTCTCTGATTGCTTGGAGGGGGTATCTGAGCTTGAAAAGGATCTCACTTCTGCTACAGCATGGGGCTCACAGTGGCTGGTGAACTTTAATTCAGATAAAACTCAATTTTATTCGGCCAATCGTTATCGTAATAATTTAGATCTTCCTATATTTATGAATGGTAATGTACTAGATGAGTCATCTACCATTCATCTTCTAGGATTAACTCTTACTTCTGATCTTTCTTTTAAACCGTATATCAAATCCATTGGAAAATTAGCATCTGCTAAGGTTGCATCTCTTTATCGAGCTCGACACTTTCTTACTCCAGATTCTATTCTCTATCTCTATAAATCTCAAATCCATCTCTGTATGGAATACTGTTGCCACATCTGGGGCGGATCTTCTAATGATGCTCTTTCTCTTTTAGACAAGATGCAAAAACGAATTGTAAACATAGTTGGACCTGCTCTGGCAGCCAATCTCCAACCTTTGTCACATCGTCGTAATGTTGCTTCTCTTTCTCTTTTCTACTAATACTATAATAGGCACTGCTCTAAAGAGCTAGCGTCCCTTGTGCCATCTACTAAAATTCATTCTCGTGTTACTCGCCATTCAATTAAGTCTCATCCTTTTTCTGTGACTGTTCCTAAGTGCTTCAAAAACTCTTATTCTTCTAGTTTTTTTCCTCAAACATCAGTTCTTTGGAACTCGCTTCCTTCATCTTGCTTTCCTGATTCATATAATTTGCAATCTTTTAAGTCATCAGTCAATCGTCATCTTGCTCTACAGATTTAGTCTTTTCTCTTCCAGTAACTTCCAACTCTTATAGTGGTTGCTTGCAGCCTTGTTGGAAGTAAAGATGTTAAAAAAAAAAAAAAAAAAAAAATCTACCTTGTAAAAAAATTTGAAATAAAGTTGATAAAACTTGTAAAATATTACAAAAAAACATAAAAGATTTTATTACAAAACAAATGAAAAAGTTGGTCTATAATCTAATAATGATTAAATTTATATAGCAGGAATGTAATAGAAGAAATGTGCTATGCAAGCCATGAAATTTGTACGCAGAAAAAAAAATCATGTGCATCATTAGTATATAAAAGGCATGTGATAGCTGCATGCGGATAAATTTACTCCTGACCAATTTACTCCTGATATTTGTATATAATAAACTAATGTATATAAATAAGCAGTCTAAATAAAACACAATACCCATAAAAAAATGATTTGAACAGAAGAGTATAGTTTACTTGCAGCAATAAAAAAAGAAATAAGCCAAAGTTGCAATACAATTATAGTAGTGAATTATTAACTACTACACAATTTATTAAACTTTATTCTTTGCTTAAAGTAAATGTACCAGCTTTAAATGCATTAAGAGCTAACTGGCCAGGTCCATCCACTGTTGTTCCATCATCATCAGGACCCCAACTACTGCTGTAAATGTCTATATGCTCTGGCTTGTAACTTAAAGATCCAGCTTCAACAGCATCAGTAACATCTCCATCAAGCATCCTGATTCCACCTACTTTGGCATTAAAAGCAACACCTGCACCACATACATTGTTGTTAATTTCAGCTGCCACTTCGCCAGCACATCTAAATAATATTTTTTTTTAATTAAATTTTAAATTGATATATATGTGTAAATTATGTTTGTGTATTCTAAGACAGTCTCATTCTCTATTTCTAGGTTCATCAAGAAGAATTGTAAAAAGAATTTATAAGAACTAGGGTAATTTTAGTTTGGTCATTTATTTTTATAATTTTTTAAAAGGTACTTATTTTCATGTCTGCATTTAAAAAATAGTTCAGATTTTTTGTTTGGTAAATTTTCATGATCCAAATGGGTAATAAATTCAAATTTTTTATTGCAAACATATCATTCAACTACCTGGTTGCAAAATAACCGCATTTATATCTTATACTGCTGAGTTAGGTGAGCATGACATCATACTGAAATAGCCTGCTGCCGGGGGCTTCAGTACATACATCGACTGACAAATAGCCTGACTCGCAGTGGAGTGCTGCTACATAGCATAAGGGTTTGGGATAGGTCAATAACCTTTTTATTCATTATTCTTTGTTTTCTTTATTTTCTCAAAAATCTATATTGATTTAGATGAGCAAAAAAAGTGAGCAGTTGCACATATAAATATGCTATAGTAGATATATATATAAATTTAATTACATCTATTCCCAACTTCCTGTGATATATTTTTTCTATAATTTTATTTGTTTTAATATTTAGACATTCTTCTTGATGAACCTACCTGTAGGAGAAACAGACTGTATAGAATATATATACATATATATATATATATATATATATATATATATATATATATATATATATATCAGCATGTAAAATAATGGCGGGTCAACGGTCAATGACCGCCCAAAATGAGTAACATTGCTATTTCGACCTCCCAAAATGAATTCTTGCCGGTCATGGTTGACCGGTTAAAAAATAATCAGAGTTTTAAAAAACAAGATTTGAAAAATAATCAGATTATTATTTGGAAAAAGCATGTACTAAATGCTGATATATATATATATATAAATATATATATATATATATATATTTATATATATATATATATATATGTATATATATATATATATATATATATGTATATATATATATATATATATATATATATTATATATATATATACATATATATATATATATATATATATATATATATATACATATATATATATATATACATATATATATATATATATATATATATATATATATATATATATATATATATATATATATATATATATATATATATATATATATATATATATATATATATATATATATATATAAATGAGGAGTTTTACAAATACCAAAAAACATGAGTTTTGCTAGAAACACAAAACTTAGTTAATCTTGATTTCAAAATTAATTTTTAGACTTTTTTATATTCCAACAAAAAAGAAGCCATTTACCCACTGATTTCAATAGTTATTATCTTTAACTATTCATATTTTGCTGGTATCTATAATCTCCAAAATAAAATCTATTAGTATTGAGAAAAACTATACTTGATGTTTTTTTTAAATAATATAAACTAAATTATATACATAATATACTCATATTTATAATATATACTCTCAGACAAGGATGTCCCCCTTTAATTCGTATAAAGGTTGACTTTAGTAAAATTGACACATTTTTTTTTTATAATAGTTTAATATTTATATTTTATCATACAGCAATATACAGCAATTTAATTAAAATATTTTTTTTTAGAAAAATACTGTTGTCATTCAATATGGCTACAAAACTGCAACAAGTGTGTGATGCAATTTTGTATGTTCAAGTAAAAAATTCGAATTTGCCTCTTATTTTATATTCAGACATTTTTTTTCACTTTTTTTTTAAACATCTTCACTTCCAACAAGGCTGCAAGCAACCACTAATTAGTGTTGGAAGTTTCTGGAAGAGAAAAGAAGAAGATTGTAAAGCAAGATAACGATTGACAGACGACTTAAAAAATTGCAAATTATATGAATTAAGAAAGCAAGATGATGGAAGCGAATTCCAAAGAACTGATGTTTGAGGGAAAAACTAGACGAATAGGAGTTTTTGGAGCACTTAGGAACAGTAACAGAAATAAGAGGAGACTCTTTAGAGCAGTGCCCATCATAGTATTTGTAGAAAAGAGAAAGAGAAGCAACATTACAGCGATGTGACAAAGGTTGAAGGTTGGCTGCAAGAGCAGGTCCAACTATGTTTACAATGCGTTTTTGCACCTTGTCTAAAAGAGAAAGGGCATCATTAGAAGATCAACTCCAGATATGGCAACAGTATTCCATACAAGGCCGGAGTTGAGATTTATAGAGATAGAGAATAGAATCCAGAGTAAGAAAGTGTCGAGCTCGATAAAGAGATGCAACATTAGCAAATGGTAATTTTGCAACGGATTTGATATAAGGTTTCCAAGAAAGATCAGAAGTAAGAGTTAATCCTAGGAGATGAAGGGTAGATGACTCATCGAATATATTACCATTCATAAATATAGAAAGGTCTAAATTATTGTGATAATGATTGGCTGAAAAAAATTGAGTTTTATCTGAATTAAAGTTCACCAGCCACTGTGAGCCCCATGCTGTAGCAGAAGTGTGATCCTTTTCAAGTTCAAATGTCCCCTACAAACAATCAGAGGGAGTTGGCTACTTATGGTGACAAGAATAAATGGTAGTATCATCAGCGAACAATGCCACCTTGGCATTGTTCGCTGATGATGTGAGAATATCTAGAAGATCGTTAATGTAAATTAAAACAAGTATAGGCCCAAGGATTGAACCTTGAGGATCCCCTGAGGTTACAGAATAAGAAAACGAGTGCTGTCTATCAAGGACAACTTTTATACTACAATTGGAAAGGAAGGATTCAATAATCTTAAAGATGTTTCCAGATACACCGTAAGAAGAAAGCTTATGGAGAAGACCAGCATACCAAACTTTATCAAATGCTTTAGAAATGTCAAGAGGGATGGCCTTAACCTCTCCACCTTTAACTAATGCGCGATAAAACCTATCGGTTATTACTGTTAGCAAATCAGCCGTAGAATGAGAAGATCAAAATCCATATTGATGATCAGAAAGTAAATTATTAGATTCAAGATGAGAGATTAAGTGTTTGTTAATTAGAGATTCAAGAACCTTGCTTATGATAGGAAGAAGACTAATGGGACAGTAGTTAGACAAATCAGATCGCTGTCCAGAATTTTTAAAAATAGGGATAACAGATGCTGCTTTCCAGCAGGCTGGAAAACAAGACTCTGATAAGCACTTGTTGAATAGTTTTGAAAAGATAGACGACAGCTCCGGAGAACACTTCTGCAAGACTATAACAGGTATGTTGTCTGGGCCGCAAGCTGTAGAAGAATCTAAGCAGGAAATCACTTTAGATACAGAAGCTGGAGTGATATGGATGTCGAGCAATGGATCAACCTGTTTGATGGCTATATCAGGTAGAACGCAACTAGTGGAATCTAGAGATGATATTGATGAAAAGTTCTTAGCAAACAATTCAGCTTTGTCTTTAGGTGAGGTGACAAAGTCTGAACCATACAAAAAAGGTGGAATTACAGACATGCCCTTATTATTGATACTATTAAAGATTTTCCAGAAGTCATGAGAGCCTAATTTTTGAAATGAAATACGAGATTTCATGATCTGAGAATAGCGGGCTTTGGCGTTAGACAAAACCTTTTTACAATGGTTCCTAGCAGTAATAAAGAGACGTCTGTTTTCTGGAGTATTGTTTTGCTGATAGATATGGAAGTAATGGTTTCGATTGGCAATTGCTGCAGCACAATGTGAGGAAAAACAAGGAGACGAGTGAGGTTTGACTTAGAATCGTCGAGAGGGAATAAAGGATTCCATGCCAACCTAAATCCACAAAGTTATGTAAAAAGCACTTTTGTCAACAGGAAGACGAAAGATTTCTACCCAAGGGCCATCACGAAGAAAATCACAGAAAGTCCCAGTCAGCTATAAGGTAGTTGTAAGATGTGCAATGATAGGGGGAGTCTGATGATAAAGAAGAATGAGATAACAGTTTTAGAGAGATCAAACTGTAATCAGAGGCACCTAAGGGTGAATGTGGAGAAACTGAGCACACTCAGTACATTGCTTAATAGCCCAAGCAACTGCCTCATTACTATTAATAAACCCTAAGCCGTAACAAACGGCAAACAGGGACACCATCTGTTAATATTTTACAACTGTTGATGGAATTAGCCTTTCTGAGAGCTACCACAGAGTTCGGGAAACCTGACTACCAGCCGGCCTCAGAACCATAAAAATGAGTTTTAGAGCTGTACCCTCATTAAGAGATAATAGAATGATTTGCCTAGTCATAAAAATAGAGACACAAGCAAAGCCCATGCATTGATTCAAGAAGATCCAGCATTCAACATCCTAAACTGAAAACAATGTATTAAGAATACATCTGCGCCAGCCAAATAAATAAACTTTGTAACAAACCTACAGATGGAGAAACAGACTGTTGAAGAAAAAATTAGATAAGTGTTTTTATTGATTTATTTTCACTTTAATTTATTATTGCTCTGTTATTTAAGAACCTTGAGCACACTATCTGTAGAAAACACTAACGTAATTTACATATATATCAATTAAAAATTGATTAAAAAAATATTTAAATGCACTGGTGAAGTGGCAACTAAAAATGGTAGTAACATTTGATACACAACAACAAATAGAAAACCTGGAAGCAACAACAATTTGAACATTAACAAAAAAACTGAAGACGAATGTTTTACTGAAAATTCTTAACATTTCTGAGCAAGATTTAGCACTAAAATGTGATGCTGAAAAAAATTTAGTGGCAAGTTGTGCAGGAAAATTATAGGAAAAATTGTGTAGGAAAAAAAACGTGGATTAAAAACATAAAGCTTTGTTACTATTCCATAATAAATAGTGAAAATTATTTATGAGAGTGCTTAAAAACACCCCTAATTGTCACTGTAGAATGCCCACAATGATAATCCAATCTTTAGGTTTAACCTAGCTTTAACTCTCCTAGGTTAAACTCTTTTCATTACTCTAAACCCACATTAAGTTTCTACAATGCCAATAGTATTGATTTCATACTAAAAAAACTACTGCATTTCCTGCAAACTTCTCTGAACTTCATTCAATTGAGCAATATTGGACAAAGCCGAGTAAGCTAAGCTATGTAAGAAGTTTGGGGAAGTAAAACCAAGTACTGACTTTAATAAGACTTCAATGCTTAATAAGTGTTTAATTTAAAAAAAATCAAAACCTATCTTTTTTAATTCAAGATATAAAAAGTGTCAGTTTTACTGAACCCAACCTTTACATGCATTCATACATACATACATACATACACACATACATACATACATACATACATACATACATACATACATACATACATACATACATATATACATACATACATATATACATACATACAAACATACATACATACATATATACATACATACATATATATATACATACATACATACATACATACATACATACATACATACATACATACATACATACATACATACATACATACATACATACATACATACATACATATATACATACATACACACACATACAAACAAACATACAAACAAACAAACATACATACATACATACATATATACATACATATATACATACATATATACATATATATATACATACATACATATATACACACATACATACATACAAACATATATACATACATACATACATACATACATACATACATACATACATACATACATACATACATACATATATACATACATACATATATACATACATATATACATACATACATATATACATACATACATACATACAAACATATATACATACATACATACATACATACATACATACATACATACATACACACACATACAAACAAACAAACAAACATACAAACAAACATACATACATACATACATACATACATACATACATACATACATACATACATACATACATACATACATATATACATACATACACACACATAAAAACAAACAAACATACAAACATACATACATACATATAGACATACATACATATACACATACCTACATACATACATACATACATACATACATACATACATACATACATACATACATACATACATACATACATACATACATACATACATACATACATATATACATACATACATATATACATACATACAAACATACATACATACATATATACATACATACATATATATATACATACATACATACATACATACATATATACATACATACACACACATACAAACAAACATACAAACAAACAAACATACATACATACATACATACATACATATATACATACATATATACATACATATATACATATATATATACATACATACATATATACACACATACATACATACAAACATATATACATACATACATACATACATACATACATACATACATACATACATATATACATACAAACATACATACATATATACATACATACATATATACATACATATATACATACATACATAAATACATACATACATACATACAAACATATATACATACATACATACATACATACATACATACACACACATACAAACAAACAAACAAACAAACAAACATACATACATACATACATACATACATACATACATACATACATACATACATACATACATACATACATACATACATATATACATACATACACACACATAAAAACAAACAAACATACAAACATACATACATACATATATACATACATACATATACACATACCTACATACATACATACATACATACATACATACATACATACATACATACATACATACATACAAACAAACATACATACATTATTTTTAATTATGGTTCAAAAACTAAACAACTCAAAAACATTCCATATTCAAAAACCATATAAAACTATATAGCAATTAAAATATTTTTACCGTGTTCCATGTTTGTTTATGTTATCTTGACTATATCGAGGTGCAGGATCAGAATCACCACTATTAAAATCATAACTTGCTAAACTATCATAGTTACGTGAAAGATCAGGATGTGAATGCTCAAGTCCATCATCTAATATAGAGACAACAACACCTGCCCCAGTCACATTTAAGTTCCAAGCTTTAACAACATTAATATCAAGCTGCTCAAAGTTATCACCAGCATATTGAGATTTACATCTTTCACGAGTCTGACCTAACCATAGTTTAAGAAAAAATATTTTAGAAGTAGCTTTTAAAAACATTTATTTAGTTCACTGACAGATGTTTTCGTATTACAAAGTAACATAAAACTAATATTAAAACTTAAAGCCTGCAAAGATATTTAGCAGTGGTGAAGAAAACCTTTTTTAAAGTACCATATTTAAATAAAAAGGCATTTTGACAAACTGTCTTATACATACATATTAGGAACCATGGACATTAAACTTTAAATAAAAAGATGTTGTTTCTTTTAATTAAACATAATAATTAAAAAAAAAAACATTTTTATTGTTATTTAAAGCAAATAAAGAGCTTGTAAAAATAATTTGATAAAAAGAATAACAAAATGTGCTTTTTAAGATAATAGTTTTACAAGACATATAGATAGAGATGTAATTCCTTTTTTTTTTATTTATTGGGAGGGAGGAGGTGGAAAAGGGTGATATTTAACTTTATTCAAGCTACTAAACTAATTGTAATGACAATATTTTTAACCATATTTAAATTTCAGGACAGTATAAATTGAACATGATTAAAATTCCTATTACTGGTTTAAAGGTAATAAAAGAATATATCATATGGCTATTTCTATAAATGCTAAAACAGAAAGAACATTTATTTCATAGCTATCTCTTGCTACAGAATTATCAAAAGGTTTTGAAATAGGTCAGGAAGTATGTATATTAATTAAAAATTATTTAAAAAATTTTATAAAAAAAAATTGTAAGTTTGGATTTTACTGCTAAAAAAATGAAATTTTTTAACTAAAAATGAAAAACCCATTTTTACAAATTTGCTCAATATAAATTTATTTTCTCAATGTTTTTAAAAAGATAATTATTTTTAAAATTTTTATACAATTTCAATTCATTTGAAATTCATCATGACATACTTTTAAAAAACTGTGAACAGGCTTCTTTTTTCTTTTCTTTTTTTATTATTTTTATGGGACATCTTAGTATAGAGTATCACAAAAAAAACCACATAAAAATTACACAAGTACAATATCTAAACATTGGTGATTAATATGATTTACTAAGTAAAAGATTTTCAATGTATTAAAAAATTAACTATATAGTTAATTTTTTAATAAATAAAAAATAATACAATAATAATAAATAAATAAATAATAATACAAAATTTGAAAAATGACTGTATGGCCATAACTTTAAGAAAACAACATAGTTAATTTTTAGTATATACTAAAAATAAACTATGTTGTTTTCTTTAAGTTATGGCCATACAGTCATTTTTTAAATTTTGTATTATTATTTATGACAAACCTGTGATAAATAGCTGAAAAAGATGGGCATGGCACGCAATAATTGTTTTTTTTTCTGGATTGGAAAGTTTTTTTAATACAAATTATGCTGGACAAAGGACTGGTTTATTCACAACTACACTGGGTCCTAAGCATACACCTGCATCAACTTCAAAATCAATGGCTTATCATGATCCATTCCTAAGAGATAATTTTCTAACCATGATCATCATAGAGACTAGTATGCTAACCAATTCATTGCAAAGAATAATATCAATGTCAATTGATGCCATGTCAAATTGTTTATAAATGTTGTTCAAAAATGATTGGCTTCAAAGGCAAGCCCCTCCCCCCCGCCACTACCACCACCTAAGGCAATAGATTAATTTCAACTTCAGCTAAGGATGGCATTATCGATACATACCAAAGCACATAAGCCAAACTCTTGTATGACAATAGCCAGTTCAAAAAAAATCAGTGCAAAGAAAAATCTAGAATTTGTTTATAATAATTTTAAAATGAACTTTGAGTTAATTCATTTAATGATGTCCAAATTTTTTTTCTACAATTTTCATATGTAATTGCCCTAATAAAAGAATGGGAGTTTGTTTGATTCGAGAACTTTGCTGTACTTCCTGTGATTGGTGTCATTCATTTAATACTTCCAGAGCTATTTCCAAACTTTTAAACCTGTAGGAAGAGATAGCTATAAATGTTTTTTCTGTTTTAGCATTTAGAGAAGTTTCAATGCTAAGTTCAAATAAGTGCTAAAGTAACTAAAGTAACTAGAAAACTTAATAGTTAAGAAAAGTAAGTAAAAACTATTTTTTTTAAATAATAATTTTATACAACTTTTGTATTCTTTTTTTTTTGAGTTGTTGTTGAAAAAACATTATCTTTTATGATAATTTAACCAGAATTGAAAGTTTTGATATGAAATTTATTCATGATTTTTATCAGTATATATACTTAAACTAATTTGCTATGTACACTAGAAATTTAAGAAATTTTGTTAATTTTTTTTTCTTAATTTTATTCGTTTTGTACTTCTTTTCGCTTTTAAAAATAATTTTGCTATATTTGATATTTTTTTTGTAATACTTATAAAATAGGAATATAAGAAAATAAATTGTTATTTTTTTGTAAAAAATATTATTTGATTAATAAACTTTGTAATGCAGAATAAGTTAAATAAAAATATAACATAGTTTCTTTAATAGATGTATTTACCGCATTTGATGCATGTATGAAATTGTTTCTTTTATATTTCCCAATTTCGAATGTTAAAATGAATCACTAGAGATAATTAAGATAACGATTGCTTTGCTTAAAAATTGTATTTAAAAACTTAAAAAAAAGTTTTAAATAAGCTACTAAAAATTTCATTAAAAAAGTTCAGTAAATTAACAATGCACTAGCCCATAAGATTTTGGTTTGGCATTGTTTCATTTTATTACATGAAAAACTTTTTTTTTTTTATTATTATTATTTTTTTAAAATAAATAACAACTACTTTTTTTACTTTCCAGTGCATTGATAAAAACAGTTAAGTTTAGCAAAGACATTTGAAAAACAAATTTAAAACTTGTCAGTGTTTCTAGCGCAAATTATAAAGTATTTCCTTAATATACTGACTGAAAAAAGTTGCAAAAAATGGTATATAAAAATCTTTTTTTCGTTATATTTTAATCTACTTTTTTTCCTCGACTTAATTTTGGTAGTGGAAAATAACCCTAAAAATAAGAAAACAAAAGAAGAACATTTATGTTCAAAAATTTTGCAGCAAATTCTTAAAATGCTCACTATATAAAAACAAGTCAAGTTGTCTAAAAAAATTACTTTAAATGTGGACAAACAAGGCGTGCGACTGCATGCACTTTCCAGGCAAGCTTGTAACATGTACTTTTTATAAAAATGTTTAAAAATGCAATCTTTATACATAAGAATCTTCCTATCTTTTTGAAATTTTATATGCAATTTTTACACATAAAGATCTTTGCTTCAATAAAAAACCTTACAAGTTATTCATAATAAAATTTTTTAATTTAAAAAAGGTTTTATTTTTCATCTTTTGTGAGTATTTTCACAGTAGTTAAGAGAAGAAAAAGCTAGAAACTTATACACAAGCTCAAAAAGCAGGCTAACTTTTGTAAAACTACTTTGCGTTGTTTTGCAAAAATAAAATGTAAAAGTAATATATAACAATAAAAGTGTTTTTAAAAAAATGTGTGATTCTTTGATTGAACTGAAGAACTTTTTCTAAAAAACGCTCTTCAATTGAAAAAAATTCTTTAAAGAAAAACAAAAAAAACTAATTACCTAGAGGATAATTTTGTAATCATAAATAAAAAATTTTCATTCATATTAACATAGTTAGATTTGTATCTTCTATAAAGAATTCAAATGTTGAAAAAACTCAATTTATGAGAAAAAGAATTCAAATGTTGAAAAAACTCAATTTTTAGAAAAACAGTCTTTAATTGATAAACTTGATTATAAAAACTTGACTTAAAGATGTGTATTTTTTGGTTGTGGGTCTCTATTATTTTATATTTTTTAAAAAATACCCTAATACTACAATGATAAAACGCCAGAAATTTCTGGAAATTTTTAACCCTAGTTTCAGTTGATGGAATGTGGCAAAAAAGAGGTCACTCATCATTTAATAGTTTTGCTATAGCAATATTTACTTTAACAGGCAAATGTATAGGTGCTGTTGTGTTGTCAAAACTTTGTAAAGGATGTGTTCTTTAAAAAAGCAAAAAAAGAACTCTAGAATACAAGAATTAAAAAGCCAACCATAAAATAATCATCAACTATCATCTGGTGTGGGAAGATGCAGGTGCAATTGGTATTTTCCATCAGTCTGTCAAAAAATATAAGTTGCAATATACTGGTTATTTGGGTGGTGATGGTGTTTGGATGGTGATACCTCATCGTAATCTTCAGTATTATTTTTATGTCCATACAAAGATATAGAGATTAAAAAAGCAGAATGTATAAAGCACATCAAAAAAAAAAGGAAGTCGTGATATGGAACTATGTAATGAAAAACCAGTAGCAGGAAAAGGGAGGTTACCGACAAACAATGAGGCATTAAATGCTTCAATCTGGAAAACAATGCTCCAAATATATTTCTATAAATATAAAAATTATCAAAAAGTCAGTAAATTCAGCTATTATTAATTTTAATGAAGGTACCATTAGAATTATTGATGTTTTGTAAATTGATTCGCTGCAATCATTGCAAACTAAAAAATGTACAATTAGGTTTTCACTAACTACAAAAAACCCAATTACAGAAGTTGCACAACCAAAAGAAAGGGTTTAATGATAAAGAAACAGAACAAGAACCATGCCAAGCTTATTCTGCTGGATTTTATAAAGTATAAAAATTCTCAATTTGTATATTTTGTATTAATTTATTTTGTCAAGTTATGAAGTATTTTAAATACTTAGTGATGTACCACCTTAATGAAATTAACACTATTTTATTATAACTATGATATCACTTACTTTATAACCATTTCATGCTATGCGTAGTTAGAAAAGTTTAAAATGTTTGAAACTATTCTTTTTAATAAGATGAACAAAAGAAATAATTAAATCATTGAGTTACCATAGAAATATTATAGCAATCTTTTCTTTTAGTGGTGTCTTTAAAATGTTAAAAAAAATTCCGCAATGTGCAACACCTCTAAATCTATTAGTGATTAGAGTTTGTTGCATCA